CTAAAATAACCTGAATTACTTCAGATGGTTAGGTGGTATTATTCAGCTCACTCTCTGGTTTGGTGCCACCATTTTCCACCCAATGTGATAGGTAAGCAACAGTCAGATGTCCAGCAAGTCAGCCTAACTGAAGCTCCTCACCTTTTCCACTCATCACTGCGCCGGTAGTCTGCTCCTGCCTCCTGCTGTCAAACGCACGCCCACCTCGTGACTTGAGGCAGCCAAGACCTAGGAAAGAATCAGAGCTTTTACAGGACTGGCTTCAGGTTCCCCGTAAACACACCAACAGCCCAGCACAGTCAAGTGTCAGACTACTCATCATCCAGACGTTCACAGGCCAGAACACTGGGCATAGACAAGCCTCTCTTCTCTCTGCCACCTAATGACACAAACGTGACACCGCAGCCACATCTGCACGCCTCTAGGGGCAGTGTACACGGGAGATTATATAGTTCCAGTACTTATTGCCCGACCACGTGGATGCCGGATCGACCAGTCCTGACAGTTGTCTAGGATGTCACAGGGAAGGGGCTGAATTTGCAGTTATACTTCTGGGGCAGACCTGTTCCAGCACCCACGTGTCAACTCACCAGGGACCCCAGCATGCCCTTCCAGGCCCTTGATTTCCAGCAGGCAAGCTCCCTAGGAAAAAAAGAAACCCACGTTTTATAAGATGCCCACATGGAGGCACTTCACCCAGACTGCGTTCTGCTGCATTAGGTCTCCAGGGAGACCCTGCCACCAGGTCTACGTGTTTCTAGAAAACTCCAGAGCCAGTTACCCTCCCCCCTAACTTGGGGTGCGTGGAAAATGAAGGCTACAATACAGCGGTCCCGTGTGAGATACGATGACGCACCGGCGCTGGAACCCACTGCAGGCGTCAGGCGACCAAGGCCCAGGGCTGCGGATGCAGCCACCTCTGCCCCCCGGGAGGCCACCTCGCCACGGGGAGCACTCATTCCCACCATAACTCAGAAATCGCCTCACTTTTAGAGCCGGATAAACAGTGACAGTCGACCCATTTTTTAAAATGAAAGAGGAGATGAGCGGAAACACGAGGCGACTTTCTCGAGGCCCCCACCAGTCAGAGAAAGCAGCAGGGCCTCTCGGGCCCCCTGCGCCGTGCCGCGCGGGGCACGTCTCCGACAGGCCCCCGTCGGCCATCAACCCCCGCCGCGCCGCCGGGAGACGCGGAACCGAGGAGAGGCGCCCTCACCGGCCGCGCTCGGCCCCCCGGAGCCTCCGCGCCAGCAGGCGCCGCTCCCCCCGTCCGGAGGCCGGACGCACGGGCCCGCATCCCCGGGCCCCGCTCCCCGAGGGCGGCGGTCGGGGCCCCGCGCGCCCCGAGGCCACACAAACCCACCGTCACGGCCATCACCGTCTCCGCCGCCGCGAAAGGACGCGCGAGCGCGCGCCGCGCCTTTTATAGGGCGTACGGCGGCCCGCGAGGGCCAACCGCGCCCGCCCCGCAGCGCCCTCTAGCGGACCCTGCCGGCCGCGCCGCGCCGCGTGGGGCCTTCTGGTCTTTGCTGGCGCCCGGTCTCACTTGTCGCGCCCCTCGGGCTCACCTGTGGCGCCTCCGGGGTCCTTCCCAGAGCCAGCCAGGCCCAGCCGGCGGGAACTCCCACCCTCCTGCCCGCGCCTGCGGCTCCTCCGATGGGGCAGATCCCTGCGCAGCCGTGGGGCCTCCTAGGTAGGGTGCGATTCTGCAAAATGGAGATCCCGCTGGGACCCACCTCCCATGGGTGGCAGGACTGCAGGAGTCAAACTATGGAAAGCCCTTAAACAGTGCCAGGCACATCGATAATGTCTTCCGTGGTCACTTTCTCCCACCAATGAGTGCCCCTGAAGCTGGAGCCACCTCCTTGTTTCCTGTAGAAGTGCCTCCTGCTGTCTGGGGAGCCCCGGTTGAGCCGCTCCTGCCGGCCCCAGTCCCCTGGAATCTCTGCACAACCCCCCCCCCCCCCCGGCCCCGGGCTTGGCCTGAGGCCCTGCCAAAGGCTGCACCTCCCCACGGAGCCCCAGGCAGGACGCTGCCCTGCAGGGAACTCTGCCTTCACCCACTCAGGAGGGTCTCCTAGGTGCCAGCTCTGACTGGCAGGGTAGAGGTTCCCGGGGCCCTAGGCAGCAATATTTTGCTTCCTCTTCTATGTGGAAGCTTCTGAGGTCGGGTCAGGAAGGGCCCACCATGGATTCATTACCCCGATACTTCTCACAAGCTGACGAGTTATCGCTAACTTGGACAGATGTAGGACGACCTGTGGAGCTGGCTGTACCTCAGAGTGAGCTCTTGCTAAGGAGACGCCCGGGCGGGACGCCTACAGGATCCTCTGTGATTGCCAGCATCTGCCTAGGAGCGGAGCGGGAGTCCCTCTAGGCACCCAGACCGCCTCCCGGGTCTGGCCATTTGGGCCACAGGCTGGGCGTCCCCTTTGGCTACTAGGCCGTGAGCATCCCCTGCAGTATCCCAGCGCTGGCGGGCAGGGTGCCCTCCCCTTGGAAGTGTAGTGCAGACAACAAGAGCAACAGGGGCCTGGCTTCCTGGGGACCTGGGGACAGGCTGGGCTGGTTTGGGAAAGGAAGGACCCTTCCCCTCCCATCCACCCCCCAGCCTGGAGGAAGCTAAGTCCCAGCGGAGGGACCAGCTGGGAAGCTGGAGACCTAATTCTCTAAGAAAGAGAAGTTTCCAGAACGCTGGAGAGGGACTTCCCAGGCCTGCCGTTGAATACACTGGCTACCTGGATCCAGTGCTCCACCACCCTGGCCCTGTCCCGGGCCGTCACACTGCGGCCCCCGAGGCAGGTGGTGATGACGCAGTTGGCAACATTGTTGAACTGGGTGACGGTGGTGCGGACGGTGGGAGCCAGGTGCTCCTTGCCCTTCTTGTCCCGCTGGGACCAGATGGAGCCCAGGCAGTGGTAGGGCACCACCTTCCTGAACAGCTCCTGGGGAGCAGCGGGAGTGTCACCCGGCCCTGCCACGCCCCAGCTCGGCTCCACAGTGCCCCCCAGCCCCAGGCAGGGTCCCTGGTCAGAGCTGGAGCTCAGGAAGCTGAGCGTGCGGCTCGAGCCTGTGGGAGTCCCTGGGTCTGTTCTTGCTCGCTGAGGGTGCCCAGCGCGGGATGACCCAAGACCCAACACTGCAGGAAGGGGGAGGGGCTCGTTCACAGCCCAGGCTCGCTTACTGCAGGCACAGAAGGCGGCTCGCACTGCCCACCCCGAGAGGGCATGTTCTCCCCGCCCTGACCAGCCCTCCACGCGGACCTGCTGTCAGGGCCTCAGTGTGGTTCCTGCTGTTGGCACCTCGGACTCTCAGCAGCAGCTGTAGCTGGGTCAGCCTTGGAGAGCAGAAGTCCACGTTGTTGAGCCCACACATCACCACCACCCCTGCCACCATGGCCACTTGGTTCATGAGGCCATGGGGCGAGGCCGGGGTGGCTGGGAAAGAGGCTGATGGGTATCCTCAGACGGGTCATCCTACCCTCCTGCTTATTAAAATCCTCACCTGCTGAGGTTCCCCTTCGATAGGCATCGACTTGGGACTCAGAGATCTTCACATTTTCCACCCATTCAGAGAGGTCTGTGCACATACCCCTTCCCCAGACATCCTTGTCACCAATCTGGTTCTTTCCAAGTCCCTGATCATCCGGATAAACCACTGGCCCCAGCCCCAGACTCAGTGTGGAATCTCTTGTCTGGCCGTTTCCCCTTGCAGGCAAAATGAACCACCAGGTGCACTGCTTGCCGTTGCCCCTCTGGGAGGATGTCCCTCCACCACTGTCCCTCAGGAACCCCCAAACGGGCTGGAGTGCTGCCGCTGTCCGCTCCGGTGCTGCCTGTGTTCTTAGCAGAACAGGCTTTCTCTTCCTCTGTCAGCTGGTCCCGGGGAAGTCCTCATGAGGCCCTAGGTGCCGGCTGGCAGAGAGGAGTGTAGCAGGAGTGGGGACCAGGGACATTTGGGTCACTTTTTCATGTAACTGACTTATGCCTGCTGTGTAGACCCCACTTCATGGCTCGGTGGGTCAGATAACGCCCAATTCATGATGGGCAGCTCAGGTCACGTGGTCACGTGATAGCCCGTGGTTAAGCGTTCATTCTCTGCCAAGAGCTGTTTCACACAAGGAGAATAGTCGTTCGCAGAGGATGGCAGGGCCTTGCTCCAAAATCCCAAGAGTCTGTGGGGTGACTCACCTATAGGGGCTGCCGGAGGCGACAAACAGCATCCCTGCCTGCCACTGACACTTGCGGCACCATTGGATCTGCCGGATCACGTGGCCCAAGGGGCAGAGCAGCTGGCACCGTAGCCTGGACCTGCTGCCGGGCCTTCTCTGGTTCTGGGCCTCACTCAGCACTGCTTGGTCAACGAGCCAGAGCAGGATGCTCAAATGAGGAATGTGTGATTCAACGTGGCCCACACTGGCCTTGTGTCTCTTTTTCAGTTGTAGGAGAGGCCAGTTGCAACAACGTGTCCTTCACCTGGAAGGGATGTTTTGCCATGCCCCTCACCACGGGACCCCCAGAAGTTTCACTGAGGAAGAAGGCCCCTGAGTTCTTGTGGGGTGTATCTCTCACCCTCTGACATGCAAATGTCTTACCAGTAAGTCTAGGCTAGTTGCTACTTTTGCTTATTAGGTCCTGTCAGCATACTGTCACCGATGAAATGGACCAGTGAGATGTCTTGTGGAGGGAAAGGCGCTCGGGATCCCTGAGAGCTGAATGATGACGCAGGGCTGCAGAGTCGATAGACACCCGAGGTAGGACAGTGACCGTGTGTTGCTGACCTCACAGCTGAAAGCCAACTGCTTCTGGTTTTTGCTAGAAGGTATGGGGAAGAGGCATTGGCTAGATCAAGAGCTGCACGCCCAGGAGCAGGGGATGTGTTGATCGGCTCAAGCAGGGAACCCATCCCTGGTACAGCAATTGGAGTCACCACTCCCCGGGGAAGCTTGCTGTAACCCACGGCCGTCCTTCAGGATCTGTCGTCTTCCGCACAGGCCCAGTAGGGGAGGAGAGTCAGGTTCCTGTCCTTGCTGGTGGCACTCATCTCTGCCATTCCTCCGGGAATGCGGTATGGCTTTTGGTTTACTATCTGCTCGGTTGAGGCAGGTCGGGTGGGTGGTGATGCTGGGTCCCGAGGAGAATCAGGAGTGTCTTCGAGGCCGCTACAGCAGGGGCTTCATTACAGTGTCCTCCGGCCAGGCAGGGTTAGTCTCCTCCAACGGGGTGGAGCGGCTGCTTCTACTGGCAAAGAACACTCGGTAGATTGGAAGGGTCAGTAGCCCCAGCTTCACCAGGATCCTCCCAGACGTCCCCATCCCAGCATCTGGATCCCACTGCTTCCCAATCCACACCCGCACTCTAACAGGCGTTGAGCCTCCCTGGGAGGTCGGGAATTCGTTGACGTTGCCATTCAGCCCGTCAAAGGATGCAATTCTGAGTTTGGTTTTCAGCAATCTCGGCTCTGTGGCCACAGGAGATCAGGGTTCGTTACAGGGCAGGCGTGAACACTTGTAGGTCGTTTATGCAGCCCGTGAGCTGGGAACCCAAATCCTTCAGCTCGTCATTTTCCCCACTTTGTCCTGCATGGTTGGGAGCAACCAGCCAGTCTCATTATTCTTGCTAGTTTGACAAAAATGTTCTAAGGGATCAAATACGTGATCACTCAGGACTTTGCTTCTTGTAAATATCTGATTGGAGGTGTCCAGGGGCTATTTTGGGATTCCTCGTTGCCACATCACACCATGGACCGTGAGTGCTTCTTTACTACTGATGAAATAGAATCGTCAGTACATTTCAGTCTCATCAGATTCAGGAACTGTTAACAGAAATCCCAGACCCATCAGTAAACCCAGAAAACCAAACCCAGATTCTTTTCCTCTAGAACTACTCTAAGTACAAAATGTGCATTAGTCTGGGTTCTCCAGACAGACAGAAGCAATAGGATATGCATATATATGGACAGAGATTTATTTTAAGGAATTAGCTCTGGTGATTGTGGAGGCTGGCAATTCCAAAATCTGCAGGGTGGGCTGGCATGTTGGAGACCCAAGGAAGTTGATATTGAAGCTTGAGTCTGAAGGCATTCTGGAAGCACAGTTCCCTCTTTCTAGAGGGACCTCAGTCTATTTTCTCTAAAGGCCTTCAACTGATTGGATGCGGCCCAGCCACATGGTAGAAGGTTGTGCTCACTGATGAAGCTTGGCACATGGCAGGGACCAGTCAATGCATACTGAGTGAGGGACGGAATGAGTGAATGAAACCACGGAACAGGAGTCCTTACAAGATGAGCCTTTCTTTGTGGTAGGGTCAGAGGGTGTCACAGCACAGGCCCGGAGGGTGGCACGGAACGTGCCTGGCTGTCTTTCCAGCGCTGAGCCTCCTTCTCCTGTGACGTGCTATCCTGGATCTTCTTCGCTCCTCCTCAAATAATGCTGAATACTCCAGGGAGCAGGGCAGCAGGAGGGGACCTGAGGGGGGACTTCCCAGAACCTGTGCCCTGGGTGACCCCTGTGACAGCCTGGCAGGGGGCTCTTAACACGCTCCAGTCACTGGGGAAGAGATCCACAAGCCATTCCTAAGGTAATCCTCCCAACAACCCATCAGGAGTCCCAGTTATTTCCCCACTTCACAGATGGGGAAACTGAGGCTCAGGGCCTCGCCTGGGGTCACCAGCTAGAAAGAGGCTGAGCAGGGACTAGAACCCCCATCTCCCTGACTTGGGATAGTTTCTAACTGCCGTCTTGCACTGTGGCCTCCTGGAGCTCAGGGGTCCTGATTCCCCTGGGACCACACCCTCCAGCGCTCCAGCCCTCACTGAACTCAGGGGGCAGAGCTGCCCCCTCTGCCTGGGGCTGGGCCTGGTGGCCGGAGGAGGGCAGGCCCTGGGCACCCTGGGCTCTCCCAGGACCGGGAGCAGCCTATCCCCCCACAGATGTGGTTTCCCTGGGCACCAGGACCGAGGGTTCTTGGACTCCAGAGCCCAGAGGTCCCTCCCATGGCATCGAGCTGCAGCCTCCTTGTCAGGGGGGCTCCATGGGGTCTAAGAGACCCTGGGTTCAAATCCCAGCTCTGCCACTCCATGGGGGAACAGAGGAGCAAGTCTCTTTAAGCCTCAGGGTCCTCGTCAGGGAAATGAAGACAATACTCCCTCCTCTCCCGTGGGTTGTTGGAGGATTCAATGACAGAACTCAGCGGAGAACAGAGGCTGCGTAAGTACTGTCACCATGAGCTGTTCCTGCTGATGTCACCCCACTGAGACCCCCCTGCTGCCCTTGGCCAGGGACTTCTGCCCCTGTCCCCCTGCCAGGCGTGCCCAACTCGCTCTGACTCCGTTCTTCCTCCGCGAAGCCTTTCTCCACCCGGAGTCTAGGGGGGTGTCCCTCAGCTGGGGGCCCGCAGCACCGGGCTCCCCTGTCAGACCCACCACAGCACTGGGACTGGGCAGGACCCCGGCTCACGACCTGTGGACAGGGACTGTCCTGAGCGTCGACAACTGCACTCGGGGCGCCCTGACTGTGTCATCTGCTCCACAGGCCATGTGTGGGGGCACCCAGTGACGGGGCTTCTTCCCTCCCAAGGCTAAACTGAGCTGCCCTGTGCTCCCAGAGACGCACCCTCCCACCCCGTCTCTCCATCACCAGGTAGAGAGCACCTTGCTCCCAGGGCGCCAGCTGCCCAGGGTGGTTTGGTGACGGTGATGGGTGGTGTTGTCCAGAGGAGAGTCTTGATGGGGACGGTGACTCTGGTGGGTGTGATTCCGGGGCTCCAAGTGCTGTCTCAGTGAACTCGTCTTCATACCTCCATGTGAGGTCGGCTGCTGCTGCCCGATTTCACAGGTGAGGAAACCGAGGCTCCAATGGTAATGCCTTCCCAAGGTCCCCAGGGCTCTCTCCCTTGTCCCCACTGAGCAGAGCCCCCTCCCCTGCAGCAGCTGAAAGTGCTGCATATGTGAGCTGGGATCTGGCACAGGGCAGGGGCAAGGTCACTGCTCAAGGACCCTGAAGTGCGGTAGGGCTCTGTGGCCTGCTCCAAAGCCCCAGCCTGATGCTCTGACCTTCTGGCACCTTCCGCAAGGCCCCTGCTGTGCCTATTAAAGGTCCCTTCTGCTCACACAAGCTCAAGTGGGTGGTGCTGTTGCAACTGAGAACGTCTCCTGGATGGAGCGGGTTCAAGGTGGTCCCTGTGACTCGCTGAGCTGCCCTAGGTGAGCTTTCCTGACTCATAGGAGGGGGCTCTGCGCTTGGAGGGAGAGGGAGCAGGAGTGTCTAGGACTGAGCCCTCTTCCATCCTGGATGGCGGGTCAGGCTGCTCAGCTCAGGGGAGTTAGGGAGCAGGAACGGGGGGGGCTGGGGCGGGGCCTGGGCCAGTGTGGGGGATGGGGTGGGGCCTCTAGCAGAGCAGGTCACCCCAGGTACCTTCATCTTCTCCATCCCAGCTCCTTCTCCTCCCTCCCTGAGGTCTCTGCCCAGGGTCTCTGCACCACCCTTTCCCAAACAAGGCTCAAAGTGACAAGGAGACCTTGGATGTCGGAGACTGTGACAAACACTGTGACATCATGTTTACATTATGACCCAGAATCTCCGCTTCGAGGGATCTGTCCTAAAGAAATAGAGATTTATGGACGCGGATGTTCCCTTCAGCAGGATGATGGGAGTGAAAATTCGGAAATGGCCCGTGGTCCACAGCAGGGGCTCTTGGGAAACTCTGATGGGGGACACAGAAGAGGAAGGGGATTGGCTGGCCAGCGTCCCCCCTGGGGAAATCAGGTTCCAGGAGAGCACACACCCCGGAATCCTCCTTACACGACATCCACACATGCACACGGGCACACACGTGCACACCAGCATATACATGTGCACACGCATGCACACATGTGAACAGGCACCGGCCCACACGCATGCACCCACGGGCACGGGACACATGGACACACACACACGTGCACACCAAGGGAAAGGACTGGGAGGGTGAACACCGCCTGTTAAGGGCACATCAGAGTTTCCACTTAATTCTTAATTCCTTTAGAATTCATTATTTTACTATAATAAACGTTCATTGTCTTTGTAAGAAAAATCTCTAAAAATGAAAACTAAATAACGTACTTTACTCCATAGATGAGTGACAAATGGATGACATTTAACATACGATTCTAATCTTCTCAGAACTAGAGAGGGAATACACGCACGTTCTAAAAAGCTTAAACCTCACCTGCAGGAGAAGACAGGAGACTGGAAGGTCCCACCCCCAGAGGGGCTCTGTGAATGGTTTGGTGTGTGTCTCTCAGGCTCTCTCTGTCTCTCATCCTCTGTCTCTGTCTCTCTCACACGCAGACTCATTTCCATAGATGCCCGTCTCCCTGTCGATGTCACATACATGTGTCATACACACGGGATGGATGGATCCCGTCCCCTCTCCACGGACATTAGTGTTGTCTCCAATCCCTGCTAGTTCAACCAGTCTGTGATGAAGACTCTTGAAAACACATCTTTGGAAACTTGGGCAAGAATTCTTGGGGGATAAACTCCTGGCATCTGCACTGCCTGACACCCGCAAGTGCACACACACACGTGCACACACTGTACAAGAATTCCTGGGGGATAAGCTCCTGGGATCTGCACTGCCTGACACCCACAAGTGCACACACACAAATGTACACACGTGCACACACTGTACAAGAATTCCTGGGGGATAAGCTCCTGGGATCTGCACTGCCTGACACCCACAAGTGCACACACACAAATGCACACACGTGCACACACTGTACAAGAATTCCTGGGGATAAACTCCTGGGATCCAACCTGCTTGACACCCACAAGTGCACACACACATATGCACATGTGCACACACTGTACAAGAATTCCTGGGGATAAACTCCTGGGATCCGCACTGTCTCACACCCACAAGTGCACACACATACATGCACACACGTGCACACACTGGACAAGAATTCCTGGGGGATAAGCTCCTGGGATCTGCACTGCTAGCAAAGGCTGCCCCTGGGGACTCTGGTGGTCCT